GGTGGGTATTTCTTCTACCATAAACACAGCTGTTTCATGTGGTTAGCCTCTTTCCCCTATCAGTATTCCTAGAGAAATAGATTTCCCACCAGGGTGTTGTAGTTGGAGGGGAAGAAGGACTTGAGCTCTAAGAGCTAGCCAGTTCCTCAGCATTCTTCAGAGCTGAGTTTAAGATACACTTAATTATCAGAATTTGGAGGTCTAGAAATCTTTTTTAAAAAAATCTCCAGTGGGGGCAACCCACTTTCCAGTCCCCCTTCTGTCTCTCTTAGGCAGAAGCTTTCTTTCTCCCAATAAATTTTTCCTACTCTTAACCTCCACTGTTCCTAGAATTCATTCTTCGATTTTAGAGAACACAAACTCGCATTTCGGCTATCTAGTAGGTTTGGGAGTTACATCTCTTCCCCCTATATCATTTAGGAGGTCTTCCACCGAGATTACTGGTCAGAGATGGTATCCTACTAATGGATAAAAAATAAGAGTTTTCTTTATGTCATTTAATGTCTTGGGATCAGACGGAGGTGTATGAAAAACTATTCCATACTGAGATGGACATTTAAGTGTTACAAAGACGTCATCATGATTGTCATGCTAAAATACTACACGTGGCTCTTGATCTTATTTTTCTACATAATGTACAACTGTTGTCTGTTAACTTTCTGCAGGGATTCATTTCAACTACTAAAATGACCATGGTTGATAAAATATATTTAAAAAGTGCTTAATGTTCAGATAAAATTATAATAGTTAAGCTCACTGCTCCTACTGAAATACTTATGTCACTAATCTTCTTTTCTGGGTGTTCAACAACTAAAGTTTGGAGACCAAAACTGAAAAGGTAACTGGGCTATGAGGACAGCCAATATTTTGGCCCTGGCCCCTCAAGGTCAACAAAGATCCAGGACACAAAGGAACCTTTCCTACAGGGTCCTACATCTTCGCTAAGTCACTCAACCTCCTGAACAGGGAGATTGCTGGGCACCAGAGGACAAATGTACCGTGTGCCAAAGGAGGGTCACAAAGAGGGAAAAATCTCCCACGCTTTCACTGAAAGCAACATGGTCAAGCAAGGCCATGACCCATCCTGACAGCTGACACTGACAGAGGAGCTGAGAGGCTCTATACCTGGTTCCAAAGTAATGCCTGAGGAGACTTAACTGACCTGGATAGACAGCAAGAGGTTCATACTGATTGACAGGTCTCACTTTAACTTGGTCTTAAACACCCAGCAGAAAAGAATAACCAAAACAGGTATAAAATAATGCCATAGTAATAAAGCTAGATATAAAAAGGGGCTCCAATCGCTGACCCCTTCTGACAGTTCCTAGCTATACCAGTAGCTGACCACAGTTATGGATAGTTAAGAAAAAACTATGATAAAATCTGTAAGAGCTCAGCTAGAGTTTTAAATTTCTTAAGGAGATTTGTTCTTCAAATTGTCTCTTATCTTCTTACAGCTAAAACTAGGGAGATTTATGACAAAGTATCAGACTTATACATAACCTCTATCAATAAAAAAATCTGAGTCAGCAGGTTACAATCACTATTACAGTATCTAAATGTAACTTTCTCCCCAACCTGCCCTTCCATTCTAGTGTGCTCATGCTTAGATTATACATGCTCTAATTTCTTAAAAGTTTGTTTATTCTTGCCTAGAGGTTGCCAACTCCAAGCAGTCATACAAATGGAACCAACGACAAATGTGCTAGACTTCTTTTACTGGGCTCCACTGGATTGACCCTGTAAACAGCTTATAACTGCTGAACTATGTAATAGGACTTCTATGTTGGATTCTGAAGTCCCCTGGACCTTCTCCTTATCCTCTTTGTGGGAGGCTATTACTAGTTCCTCCCAGTGCAAACCCTTGTTGGCTATATTCATAGCAGTCCTGCTCACCTTATTATTAGCCCATATATTCTTAGCTGTTTTTTTGGCTTTTGTCTCCTCCAGACCCAAAGCTGTATGGCTACCAAGATGACAATGCCTGGTACCTGTCCAAGGCCTTTAGATAGACTCTGTAGAGTAACTAACTGCTGATCACAACTATGACCCTCTTCAGCTAGAAGTAGCCAGTACTGTCTTCGCCCTTTGCCCCCTCACAGCAATTAGGGGTACTTCTTCAGACAAGGGAATATTATAGATAGGTAAGTTAATTAGATATCTTGTTGGCAGGTAGACAGGGCCTCCCTTAAGGCTCAAGCCCTGCAGGAGCCAAAACAGCAAGGAACCAATGTTGAAAACAACTGAGGCACATTCACTGATTAGCATTATAAAAAGGAAAAGAAGTACTACTTCCCTTAGAGATAGATAGCAGTGATTGATATTCTAAATGGGAAATTCCTTGTATGTGACTTGTCTTCCCATTGGATCCCCATTTAATCAATATTACCTGGGTGACTGTACTTGTAATCTTATTGGTTGGTCATGGTTTTGTCCCACCTCATGCCCACCTT